TTGCTCAAAGTCACAATCCGCATACTTCAGTATACTTCATCAATGAATATAATTATCGCGTAGACATTGATTTGCCATTGTCATGAGTTGGCAAGTGCTTGGGGCACAAAATCCTGGATACTAGCAGGAATGCCTTTGTAGTTCATCTTTCCAGCCTTCTTTCAAGTTCCTTTCTTGTATTGGAAGAGATTGCCAAGTTTTTAAAAGCTAAGGGCCAGATAATGTTGCCACATGGTTGATCACGTGATATGGTAAGTATACTGGAGTATGCGGTTGTGACTTTGAGCAAATACGCCCTCATGCAGCAGTCTTCTATAGGGCCGTTCAATACTCTCTTTAAATATTATGTACTCTTGCTTGTAAGTATATGCACTTAAGAATATGATATTGTACTATCGGTTTCTGGTACTGACACATTCTTAAGCTTAAAAATTAATTATGATGCAGTTGAAATCTCCCACCCTTCTCATGTAGCTGGACTAACCTTGCAAATGACAAAGGTTCTTGAATGGGCAAAATGGAATTCGATTCCTTTTCTAAAGCTTCAATATTTCTATTGAGGTACTCAAACATTTTTAATACAGATGAGAAGTCTGTCACATAAAAATGGTGGACATCACAAACAGAATTCTTACAAAATAGGACTTCTATAGTATGGCCATAATAATTCAAACCTATCAAATATAAATTTAGCAATGCAGATCCAGTCACTAACATACCTAAGGGCATCACACCATAGTCGCTACGACATCTATACATAGCTGCCAATAACTGGCATCGTGACGCTTCCACTGAACCTGCAAACTTGATCTCACATACAAGAAGTACTTTTCGGTTCGAGCCACCTCTAAGCAATGCATCCACAACACCTATAAATAAATACTTCTTTAACACAAATAGGGAGCCCCAATTATGTACTCATAATTATATATTACAAGATAACAAATTCAAATAACAAACAATATTTAGTGATGTAGTATATTAGTAACGCGGTAGCATTACTAAGTAGAATTCACCCCATTTCAAAATGGCTGTCAAAACTTTTGCAGCCTTGCTATACCGGGATAAGGTGCTCCTATGCTTACCAGACTTCTTAGAGGACCTTATATTGACCAAAGGACTCCATTGGTACCACTAACGTGGCTTTAGCTAAACTTTGTCTAAGAGGAAAGTCAAAAGTTGGCGAAGCAGCCATTTTGTTTAGCCACCTTTTTTATCTTCATCATCTTCTGTCAATCAGTTAAGCAGGGGTATCGTGGTCTTTGAACAATGCTACAAGGCTAATTCTTACATCATTCTACTCTAACTATCTATGCGCAGGTCCATAAGTTATCAAATAAGTTTAACAAAAAGAAAAGTTTTCCCTCTCTCTATCACAGTTTGTCCAACTTCAGCTCATGCCACCATTTTTATTAGGGAGCATGTGCTCCATAATTTGGTTGTGGTTGCGCATGCCCAATGCAATATACAATAAATCGATAATCATAGACTCATTAAGTCATAGTTCTATTTCTGGCTGATTTCTGGTTGTGTCTCTGGGTCTACGTCTGTATTTCTGGAGGTCTACTACTTCGATACTCATCTCTGGATCTACTACTGTATTTCTGGAGACCTAGTACTTCTATACTTATCTTTGGATCTTTCTGGAGGGCAGGCTTTGTTCTGTCTGGACTGACTCTGGTTTCTAGGCTGTTCATTTGAGGAATTGTCCAGTTGAAGAAGCATTGCAAGTAAAGACTTGTGAAGGGGAAGTTTTACTACAGTTACTCAAACAGGTTTTTTACTAGTAATAGTAGTTGTACAGTATTAATAGTAATAAAAATAAATATCAAAATGCCTAAAGCAAGAAAAACATCTGCAAAGAAAAGGAGAAGGCAAAATAAACAATATCAACTGAGTAAAAAACTACTTTCATAGCCTATTAATCTTCCTGATGCCCCTAAATACAATGATGGCTCTGTGTATGATCATACTGTTACAGTATGTGATGC